ATTTTAAGGCATGGAAATGAGATGAAATTTCGTTTTGTATACACTCTGTGTATACAAAATGACAATAAATGTTGTCTAAGTCTAAGTCTCTCGGGAGCGGCTACAGGGTTGTGTATGTGCATTCATTTTTTTAAGTGGAGCATAAAATCCTCCCCTATATCTTTAATATCCTCAACCTTAGATAATTTAAAGTAGGGATGACTGTATATATAAGCAAACATACTAACATAGCAGGCTAGCTGTAAGTAGCATTGGCAGTAGGTAGGATCATAACTACAGTGTACCCATCTTCTGATTGCTGCTTCCTGTAGGATAACGTACATCATAAGAGGGCTCAAATCAACTTGAACATGTTAAGCACAGTCACAGGTTCTCAATCTATTACCCACTTCATCCCAAAGGATGTAGTGGGGCAGGGGACTAACATGATGGATATGTATTTGATATGTCAGCAACAACTGCGTGATGCAATAATGCAAATATAGACAAAACCTCAGAAAAAAGTTCCCAACACCCTTTTTAAACTAGTCTGTAAAGATTTAATGTCATTCTTTTGGGAGAAAGAGGGTCCAGCCTGATACTGGTTAGTCAACGCTGTACATGAGTGCATCATATAATAGGCTACAAGAGTTTAATCAGAATATAAAGTTGTTTTTTTTTTTTTTTTTTTTTTACAAATATTTAGAAATTATTATAATATTTTGAAGACTGATAAAATGTGTAATTGCTTTGAGAGTTATTCTGTGAACTTTTGCTGTTTTCTGACTTATATTTCAATCCAGTACATGACCATTTCCCATTATGTTTGCTGGTTTCCAAGGTCAAATAACTCCCAATATTACAATATCGAAAATTAAGTCAGTGAGTCAGCCTCTTACCCTGTCATAGAGTCTTCCCACTTTATTTAACAGTTCCATGAAAAAATCCAAATAGAGCACAGTTTGTAGTATGGAAATTATCAACTAGTTATAATAATATGCTGTTTAGTAAAAAATTCCTTCCGTCCATCCATTTTCTAACACACTTATCTCAAGTGGGGTCACGAGGGGTGCTGGTGCCTATCTCCAGCTGTCTACGGGCAAGAGTATGGGTACACCCTGGACAGGTTGCCAGTCCATCGCAGTAGTAAAAACTTGCTATGAGAGGAATGATACATCTTTCATTTCCTGTGCCAGGTCTTTAATTATTACATTTCCTTCTAGATCTCCACTTTATAAGCACAGTGCACAATATGCTCCCAGTATTAGTTACACAGTCCAGACTGAAAATGCCACCATAGTCTAAAAAAAGCTTAAGTTGAGGTTTGCTGTATATAGTTAATGTGGTGTTCAATAGAGGACAGGACTGTCTCGAAGCATTTTCATAAAAGGTAAAAGGCTCATCATGGCCTGGAAGAGTGATACTAAAATGGAGCATAAAGATAGACAGATTTGGACTGTGTTTCCAGATATGAGAGGAACTCTTCTCTTGGTGAAGGTCACGCTGTGCCTAAAGGCAAGGGTCTAAATGTACTGACGCTGATACTTGTCATCAAATATAAATCATAAGTAAAGGAACAAAACAAGATTCAAGCAGATTAAATAAACTGCCTACTTTGGGTGAATATGCTTAAATACAATATATAAGGGACAAATATTAAGATTGTTGCCTGGGACTGCAATGTCCAAATGAGCCTCCAATCTTAATAAAACAAGCTTGGATGGATAGGAGGAAAAAAATAAATGGATTAAAACTCTTATTGCAATATAAAGCAATATAAAGCAATATAAATAAAAGCTCTGTATAAAGAAGTTTAGAAGTTTAAAAAAAATTGTCACAGTCCAGTTTTTGTGATTTGACACCAGCAACTTGTTACTGCAGCTGTCCCACCTTTTTTTTTCCAGGCACTGCTGTTGTCAGTAGAACCAAGGCGGCCCTGTGGACAGACAGCCGCTACTGGGTCCAAGCTGAGAGACAGATGGACTGCAACTGGGAACTGGAAAAAGATGGTATGGATGATTATACTCTACCCTTTTCTTATGGCAGTGTTGCACGCATGCATTCCTTTTAAATAGCTGTGGGGTGTTTTTTTGTTTTTTTCAGTTTTCAAAAATAGAATTTTAAAGACTAAACATGTCATTATGGGGATTTTATTATGAAAAAACTCACACAAACATTGTTTGTTCTCAAACATAATTACTTTTTTTTTTTTTTTTTGCTTTTTGTTCTTAAACAAAACTATCCAGAAGAGATTAAAAACCTTAATGAATGTTTATTGGGGATAAGGTTCTTGAAATTCACAGATTGACATATTTTGAAGAAATATAGTTTCTACAATTAACACAGTTTTTAAAGCTGTTTTATTACATATTTATTAAAAACTACTGTGTGAGGAAATGACTCATGCAGAAAAAGTTTTAGGCAGGATTACACAAACAGATAAGCATATAGTAACAAAAAAAGTAAAGCAAAAATGTATTTTTTTATATCATAATATTTTTTCAGACTTACCAGCAGTAAGAGTGAACTAAATTTTGAGAAAGCTCTAAATACATTTATTGATTCCTGGTACACCTTACAACCAATAGTATTAGTAATTTCTGGTTACCACATATGAGGATAGATAATTGGGAAAGACCAGTTATGATTCATGATAATAGCTAGCTAACATTTCTAATGACATGCCATCTATCCCAATTGCGATTTCCTGCAAAAATAATAAAAACATTTTTATGACTAACCTTAATTTTGCTAAGTGGGTGTCAGCGTTGTCAATGACAAGTTAGTATCAATATTAACGGAAACAAAGCATTGCTAATTTATCGGTATTGTATGGATAACTGTCTAACGGTTGTGTTCAGTCAAAATAATGATTGTGACCACCATAGTTGTCACTTATTTAAAGTGCTCAACAGGTTTTGGAAACAACCTATGCTATCCACAAAACAAATAAAAACAAATGAATCCATCAATTGATTAATAAGTAAAATATTTGAATGTAAACAGAGTATCTTGCATGCTTTATTCTTTAAACCCACATCCCACAAACCAGCTGCATGGAAACCTCTGCATATTTTCATTAAATACTGATTATCATGCATCTCCTTAAAGTTTGCCAATATTCGGTGGTATCATTAATACATTTTGGATTTGATGTTTTAGTGTCCATCATCAGTGTGGCAGAGTGGCTTATGGCAGAGGTACCAGCAGAAGGCATCATAGGCTTTGATCCCTTCCTCTTCTCCCTCAGTGAGTTTTTACATATTTAACTCAGCTGTTAGTCAATTTTAACAACCATAAACCAAGTAGAAGGAAAATATTAATAGGTGCATCAGACGCCATCCAGATTGTTTACTTTAGAATGAGTCTGTGTAATGGGTGTTATCTTCTGCAACCTGCTCCATTAGAGACCCAGGAAGGCTATGCCATGAGTCTGGAGTCCAGCAATCGTATCCTCAAGTCCATTCCTGATAACCTGGTCGACCAAGTGTGGAAGGATAGGCCGCCTGTCCCACCTGACAACCTCATCCGTCTGCCTGATAGAGTCATACGTGGGTCTTCTTGCATTCACAAATACACATAAACTGCAGCCCAGCAGTCTGTGAGTTGATGAATACCTGCAAACTGGAAAGAAAGCAATAAGCAGCCCTGCAAACAACCATAAAGAGCATGTTTTTTACGGTTGGCTGACAGATTGAACAACTCGAAAGGACAAGAGGAGCCTGCAGATAAGGAAGCTGTCTCAGCGTTGGTCCTATTAGTCTTTATGACTGTAGATTAGAAAAATAGAATGAATAGAGAGCACCACAAACCTAATGGTCTGTATATTTAACTGCAAAAAGTCATCATCGGCATGGTTTAAAGAGCATGTTTGACAGTCAGGATAAGAATGGTTGCTCTTTTATTTTTCGGCAGACTAGATGGAGTCCATTAAGTAATGAAGAATGAGACGATTACTTGAATGTCAAACAAGCAAGGACATAAAAGGGCAAATGTGTTTTTACAGTCAGAAGGTAGACAGCACTTAAACTAAAAAATACAAATCAAACCAGTTTACAGTTTTATTCATTTAGTAAAGATTTTTCCACACTGTAGTTATTACAGTGTTTAATAACTGCCCTTTCTACAGCCATAGAGTTCAGCTTATGTCTAATGGGAATAAGATGAAATTGTGTTAATTCTAAAGTCTGGCATGAATATGAATTAAGTATCCACCGTCTTTGGGTAATTACCATTTTTGCACAAATAGTAAGGGAAATAGTTTATTGTTTTTTTCAAAACAGCATACACTTGATCAAATTGGATGGAAAATGCATTTTTAGTAGTAATTTCTGAATATATCTAACAAATGTAGCTTTATTTGAGTCTATAAGAGATAAAAATGCTTCCAATTTGTCCCTTTTTCCAGTATTTTCCTGTATTTAATTTATTATAACCCACAAGTAACTCAAACACAAACTTTCCCCACATGCTTTTTTTTTTTTTCCTCTGGCTTTAGTTTTCGATGTTTCTACAATATGAATTCTAACCAAAATATACAATTGTTGTTTGATGGTGTGGTGGTACCATCACAATAAGCATAAAATGGGCAAAAGTTAAATGAGTCCGTTGATGCTATTAGCATAACACATAACATGCTTCATCCTTCAGAGAGGACATGGCAGGTGAAGGTGGAACAGATACGGAGTCTAATGACGATGAATCCATACCAGCCCACAGCTCTTCTTCTCTCAGCTCTGGATGAAACAGCCTGTGAGGAAAAAACACTCCTGATGCTGAGCAATTAAACCCTAATAACAAGCAGGAGACAAACAAGAATCAATGATGATGCTTTTTTTCTTTTTAATCTTTTTAGGGCTCTTTAATTTGCGTGGAAATGACATTCCTTACAACCCCTTCTTCTACTCCTACACACTTCTAACTTTAAATGAAATCTGGTAAGTCACTCATATTTTTATTTACTATACATTTATTTATGTCTATTGACTATTATTTATGTCTATCTATTGAACAAATAATGGTTTACATTAAATAGAAGATAGTATTTTTTAAATATTACAACAAATACCCTTATAAAACTGTCCTGTCATTTATTTAAGCATATTGAATAATGTTTTTCATTGTTTCTACAGGCTGTTTGTCCACACAGACAGAGTGACTGAGGACTTAAAGACTTACCTGAATGCATTTTGCAAAGAATCCCTCTGTGTGCAGCTAAAAAGTTACAATTCTGTTCGGAAAAATCTAATGACCTATGTGGCTCAGCCTGGGGTTAAAGTTTGGATCGGTACAGAATACACAAACTACGCACTTTATGAGATTATAACGCCCCATGTATGTATCTGAATTCTAAATATTCACTTTATTAGCATTTAAAAAAATGTGGTTTTATATTAATGCCTGTTTTTGTTGTTATCTAATTTAGGAGAAACTAATGACATCCTCCTATTCTCCTGTGTTGACAACTAAAGCTGTGAAAGATGAGACTGAGGAACGAATACTGAGGGAAGCTCATGTACGTCCCGATTGCAAACAAAAGTCACAAAGATTATTTTTATTTTACCAACTGGAATTAAAAAGTGAGGATAAAACATGACACACATGTCATTCAGGTGAGGGATGCAGTTGCTGTTATCCAGTTGCTGATGTGGCTGGAAAAGGCAGTCCCAAAGGGGAATGTGACCGAGCTGAGCGCTGCAGAATACGTCAATAACTGTCGCAGGTGAGTAAACAAATTAAGTCTTACTCAGGGGTCTGAAACCTGTGGACCTGGAGCCACAAGAGGGTTTTTAATCATTTGCCAGTGGCTCTTCATCACTTTAGCTAAAAATGATAAAGATCCAGCTAATCTTTGTAAAAACAAAAAAAAAGAACTACTAACAAACTGACTGGTTGCACTGAAAAAGAAATTGACTCTAAATATAACAGAAATATGTTTTTTGATCTTTTCTAAATGCTAAAATGGGATTTCAGAAACCAATTTAAAATGCACTTGCTTTTTTTCACAAATTTTGTCCTTCATTTTAAAATATTTGACATGGCACAGTGATTATTAACAAAACCCTTGGTAGGTATCTCTTTAAAGAAGGTCAAATAATGTTCGCGGCTCTAAACTATTTTTATACACTTGACTAATTGTGAAAATGGCTCTTTGGATTGTAGAGGTTGCAGATCCATATTATACATTAATAAGTATAAATACAGCATATTAATATGAAACTCACTTTTTTAAAACAACAAAAGCTTCATTCTTAAAGGGGTCATAGAAAGCAAAACCGAGTTTACCTTGTCATAGATGAATAACGATAGTTCCGTGGATGAAATGGACGTTCAAACCCCTTGCGAATCCAAATGAAGCCCCGAGTTGACGTAAACTTGGGGATGTTGCCTTATTTGGTTCTGGCCTGTACCTTTGTCACTCCCCAAAACTAACATGCAGACCAGCCCACTGGTTCACTGGTCCAAGGGAGAGGGGGGTTTGAAGTGTAGACTGCTGGCCGCTGACTGGACCGGACCTCAGCAGAGAACCATGAGCTGCCCATCCTCAGCAGGAGGTGGGGGACGGGGGGAAGCACGGGGCCGCCTGTGTCTAGGCTACCGTCATCGGATCAGGATTCGGTCTTTCCATCCCTCACTGGCTCCCTGCCCCCGTCCGCCAGGGTTCGCGAACCAGCCCTGGAGCTCACGGCCCGGTTCAAGTGCCCAGTGTGTTTCGACTACGTGCTGCAATGTAGTCGATCAAAATCCAGTGCGATTTTTAAATTCTCCCCGGAAATCTTGTCCAAGAAAAAGAGGACGTCTGGTCACCCTACCATATCAACCATCTCGCTGTTTCAGTGAGTGAGTGCCTATTGCAATGATGCATCTTTGCTGAGCAGCTTCGCTCGTTGTAAACCAACCAATCAGTGCACAGCTCATCTAAATATTCATAGGCATACCATAAAAGGAAGAAATCCTGTCGTTTTATTCTAGGGATTGTAACCAGGCATGCATTAGAGCGCATAGAACAGCTAATATGCCATTATTAGCCCAACCAATGTTACACAGCCTATTCAGAGACCATAAGGACCAGCACCATTACCCCATATAATAATTCTATGACCCCTTTAAATAAAAGATGCATCAAAAGGCTTAATGTTATAAATGGGGTTATGCAATTCAGAGAAACATTACCTGAAGTATTTACAGGATGGAACAGCTAATCCTTTTTCCAATACTAAAAGGGAGTCTTGGAAAAAATAAGAGATGAACAAAAGCCTGCTGCCAACAGCATACGCAGCTCAGCACAACAGCTGCAGACAACAGTTACATTAGTCTTAATTACATTGCTTATATTTAGCTTGGAAAAAAAGCTTGTGCTTCTTAATTTACTGTTGACGTGTGGTAGTAAACTATATCGAAAACAACGTGCCTGTGAGGACTTCCAATAGTGATACACTATTGGAAGTCCTCACTATTGATTGTTTACTTGTACACTTGTATAGAGTGTGTAAACACATTGATTTTTTTGTGTATTATAGATGTATTATTCCTGTATTTAAGTATTTATTAACATATCTATAGATATTTTGGAAATGGGAATAACAGATATATTTATGTTCCAGCAAACAGAAGGACAACAAAGGCCCAAGCTTTGAAACAATCTCTGCTAGTGGACCAAATGCAGCTCTTGCACACTACAGGTAAGATGAAAGCATGTCATCTTCTTTTTCAAGTTCTATGTTTTAATGAGACTTTCCTTATTCCAGCTTGTGTAGGCATACAGTTTGGAATGAATAAAGAAATTCTTAAATGGGTGAAATATTAAAGACAAAAAACAAAAAGAGCTAAGTGCAGTAAGGATGTGTTTGATTTTATATGTGCTCTTATTTTGGTATTAGAGTGAGAACATGTTGTCTGCTAAAGGTTAGGTTTAGGACTAAGGTGTGACTTTTATTTAGGTTAAGGTGAGGTATGCCCTGGTAGTGGTTGAGTTAATGGTTAATGTCAGGTTCAAGGGATAGAAAGGGTTAAAATTGACTGAAAATCAATGGGACTCAACAGATTGCCTTTGCTGTAGCAAGTGTGTTACTTTGTGGGGACAGTGTAAGGCCAAGTTTATACTACCGTATATATATGTTTAAAGCTGATGAAACTGTTGTTTTTCAATTTAAAAAAATTATTTTCCATCCCGCCAAGTTTTTAGAGTGCCTTCATTTTATGTGCATAGATGTAAAACAGGGTGTTTGAAACAAATCTAGCAAATCTGTGCTTCAAGCATCTGATGTGTTTTATGCAAATCAATGATTTCAACGTATTTTTCAGCAGTAGATATAGGCCACTTTGTACAAAATGTTTGTTATGAATACAGCTATTTAACTCCTCTGAACATTCTGGGGCACGAAACATTTAGAAAGCTACATTTTACAATACTGTTGTGTAATCGTTGACTGCATACCCAACATATTTAGCTTTCATCCTTTAAACAGGGGAGATACCAAAAGTGTCTTATATTCAAGGGAATTCCCTTTTGTGTTTTGGATCATTTCACTAGTGGCCCTTTGTTACTGTTCTGTCAGGAGTGACACAAAAAAACCTCTATATGTGATGATAAGCACAGTAAGACCAGAACAACATAAGGCATAACTGTAAAGTTGAAGGAGAAGAGATAATAGTTTGTAAAGGTTTTAGGAATTAAAAATCAGAACACGTGATGTGATACCTTATTTTTTTAAGCTCTGAGTTAACCAAAAATGCAGACAGGAGCTCAGAAAGAGAATTGTGTACAGGTAGGTGACATAATGAAGCAGAACACTTGCAGATGTTGAACAGGACATGGAGCACAGACAGAAAACGGTGCAGTGTAATAGTTAGAAAGTTTAAATAAAGTTAAATGTAAGAATTAAGCAACAAATGATGAGTAACCCAGAATGAATAAATAAATATTGATGCAGAAGTAGAAAAAGACAAAGGAAACAGATAACAGAATCAAAGGATTCAGTTCATAAAATTAGGGAATCAAAAAGAGACAAAAGAGATAATGCAAAAGGAGCTGAACTAAGACACTAAGAAAATACAGATCAAGGCGAATAGATTAAGGTCTTGATCTAATATTGCATATTTTGCTAAAGTAAATCAATATTTTTGCATGTATAAAAATAGGCACATAATTGATAGCCTGTACAAAGTTGATCTAGTAACCAGCCACAATCAGAATTACATCTATGATGTGAATAAAGCAGTACCCACAGTCCAGTTAGCCAGTTAGCTTTCATTAATATACAGAACATATGCTGATCAACAGAACATTAGACGAGGACTTGCAAATGTAATGACTTGCTTCCCTCATGATTTATCAAAGTTGAGTCAGATTGCAGCTGCATATTCACTGCCTATATTTAGAATGTTTGACACTCAGGTGGGAAGGAGGCATGGGTGCTACAACTGGTGTTGCGCCGATGCCATTTTTTGGCCCTGATACCGATACCCGATACCTGGCTGTGCAGTATCGGTATTGGATACCGATACCATACCGATAGCATCTGTTTGAAATTGATGTGTGTGTATATATGAAGAACTGCATACTACTTGGATGTAAAATAATTGCCATCATGGCTTTGTCAAGTTGCTGCCTATCTTTGAGAAACAGGAAAAAGACTAATGCAAAGTAATCCAACCGAAATTTTTATTGCCTTCCTGGAATGGGTGACAATAGTTGAATAAACTTTTAACTCATAACATGGTATCGGTGCCCTATTTGTCGGTACTTGCCGATACCGATACCACCATTTTAGTGCAGTGTCGGGGCCCTGCCTGACACTGGTATCAGTATCGGAGCAACACTAGCTACATCAGATAATATTGGATGCATATGTGTACAAAATTTGGACCATCAATAAGTCAAATAGAGCAGACAGTTTGTCTGTGAAGCAAAAATTTTTTTGGGGGGGAAACTTCTTTTAATACTGTTTTTTGGGTTTTTTTGCATCCAAATGGAATAAATTGGCACACCATTGCAGTTAGTAGCATTTCTCAGAACAGGATTTCTAGTGTGTTGTCCAGCATCACTTTTCACTGATTTATTTATACTTTGAATCCCTATATCAGATCAAGTGAAAAAGTAGTGAGCCTCAAGACTGTCTTTTAAATAACAATCTAAGTATTGAACTGCAGCACCGATAACCATGAAGATTTTCTATAGAGGAGGGAATTTCTCTGTATTAATCACCAGCAAAATGTGTTAGTAGATAATATTGTAAAATATAAAGATTATTTCTATATGTCACAGAAAAAAAGAACAAAAAGAAGATATTCTCTGTTAATTAAAAATTGGTTTTGTGCATCTGAGGTGTTTAAGGAGGCTGAACCAGGACCACCTTTTCAAACTATCCATATAAGTAGAGTGAACCTATGTGTAGTTTTAATCCCAGTATACATAGAGCTGTTCTGTTTGTTAGAGAATATCAGTGAGTGAACTGCATCATGAAGACTACAGTATAGAGATGAGGGACAATGCTGTGGAGAAGTTTAAAGCAGTGGTTATCATCAATCTATCTGAAATTAAAAGATTATAGCACAGCTGTATACCTTCTAACACATGGAGCAAAATGAGAGCCTTAATAGCCAGTTAAAGTTCTACTGAACTCCAAAAACCTGGCTTTAACAGCAGAGCGGCAAAAGAAAGCCTTGTTGAAAGACATACAAAAAATAAAATCATTTGGCATATAGAGAAAATGGCAAACATGTTGAATAAGGTGCTCTGGTCAAATGAGATGTAAACTGAAACTTTTGTGCCCATTCAAAACATAATCTGAGGGAGAAAATCAGCACTTCACATCTGAAGCTTGGTGGAAACAACATCATGATGTGGGGACGGAAATGAGAGTGTGAGATGATAGCGAGATGGGTGGAGGATAATTTAAGTTCTACTTGGAAAGAAAATCACAGTTTACCTTCCAGCAGGACACTTAAAGATACAACCAGAACTACAACTGGATCAACAACTACAAATTATTTCTCAGAATGTCACACACCTGTTACAGACAGAAATCAATTTCAGAATCTGTGCAATGAGCTTGAAAATGGATGTTCACAGACGCTCTCCACCCAGCCTGACCTACAGTAGTTTGCAAAGAGGAATGGGAAGAAATGCCAATAGATAGAAGTGCAAAACTGGTAGAGACCATGCCACATTACTGCAAACTGTGCTTTAAAAAAAAATTTTATTCATAAAGAAAATGAAAGTTTAAAGACAAAAATCTTTTTCTTTTAACTTCACAATTTTCCTTAACTTTGACCTCAAGGCTACAACTAAAACACAATGAAGTCTGTGGTTACGATTTGACAAAATGGAAAAATTGCATTTAACTATTTTTGAGCTGTAACAGCATGAGACTCTTTGCTACAGGTGTGTCAGGAAAAAGATTAAATATTATCTCAGTTACATTGCCTGTTATTTTTCACTGATGATCATCCAACCGCTCTTGTATCTTAGAAATAATAATGTAAAAATAAAAATGTTTCATAAAATTTCATAAAGTTAGAAAATCTTTAATGTTGCATTGTTCAGAACAAAATTTGTCACCGGTGCTAACGTTGAAGAGTTGGAATGTTGGAGAGTTCTTTGAGCTTTTGTATCTATATTTTTTTTAACTGTCAGATTATTTTAAAAAGTTCTTTTGTATTTTAACAGTAAACACTATCAGTGAATTACCAGTATCATTTCCTGTTTTTTTACTGCCATGCAGCCCGTCAGAAGAAACCAACAGGAAGCTGACAGTTGATGAGATGTACTTGGTTGACTCGGGTGGCCAGTATCTGTGAGTAAAGCCAGTCTCTTCCAGTTTTACTTCAGGTCTCGTGCGCTCAAAATGACTCTCACTATTTCTCATTTCTTAGAGATGGTACCACTGACATCACCCGCACGGTTCACTGGGGGTCACCAACAGACATGCAAAAGGTTACATTTACATTAAACAGCTTTTTTTTTTATTCATTTAAAACTCTACGCTAAATTCCATATTTCAAACACATTTTACCGCTATTTATTCTACAGGAGGCTTTTACTCGAGTGCTCATGGGGAACATAGAAATATCACATACTGTTTTTCCCTCAGGGACAAGTGGTGAGTAGAAAACAATAAGGTACTTTCCATCCCTGAACTTTGTTTTTGTGTCACCACTAGAGAGCGATCTTGCTCCACATCATTCTGAGGTGATTGCACTCCTTCTTCTGCTGCAGAATGTTTATTATAAGGTCCTGAAAGAGGCTTTTTGTGTCTCAACAGGTGTGCGCATAGAAATGCTTGGCCGGCGGGCTCTGTGGGAGGTGGGCCTGAACTACGGCCATGGCACCGGTCATGGGGTGGGAAACTACTTTGGAGTTCATGAATGTAAGGCTCTTTATTGGTGTTTTTGATAGAATTGATCAAAAACATTTTACTGCATAAACTAAAAAAACAGAAATACTGATTTATAAAGATATGAATATTTATATACAAATAAAAAAAACACTGCAAAGAGTTTGTATTGACCAGAACTCTGGGCATCAGCTGAGCATTACAAACATTGGAAAGGAATGCACATGTAAGTGAACATTTCTTTTGCAATAAAACCTCTTGTGATGTGGTTACATCACTCGTTACCCACATCAGCTGAACTATGTGACAGTAGGTAAGCATTTTAATACAGCGCAGTAAACAATATTATTCTTTATTTATTATTATTAATCTCCATTCTCTTGCAGTTTTTTTTCTTCTTTTGTTTTATTATTACAGTTAAGAATTTTATATCATGAAACTAATTTTATTATCACCGAGAATTACCCAGAGTAAATATACATTTTAACTGTGAAATTAAGATTTCATTTATTTAACCTAAAAATTTGTTCAAAACTACTTGGCCCAATGTGAAAAAAAATGTCCCTTTAATTTAAAAACCTATTGTGTCACCCTTTACTGCAATAACTGCCATGAATCATTGGTTACTGTGAGTCTTTGATATTGGAGGAACTTTAGCTCAGCTTTCTTTGAAAAAATAGTTTTATTTATCCCCTATTGCCAGTTTTTAATCAAACCAGCACTGTTAGTGCACAAACACTTGACACGAGGTGACAACGCCATTTTTGCCATTAAGAAGTGGACACATTGGTGAGCTTCAGCTCACTGTGATGTTGCATAAGATATGTATGCTTGAGCTACAGGTAAAAACCAAAAAAAAGTTTCCTTGGAACTCTCATAATTATGTAATTTTTGTCCAATCTCTCTTGACCTTCGATCTTAACTGAGAAGGTTTGGCCTGTGAGGCATAGGCTGTGTCCAAAGATTAGCCCTAACCCCTCAATCACTATAAAGAGCGGGGACTATATAGTGGACTTTATATATAACGTTGACTTTATAGCGAACTTAGTTAACTTACTGTTCTGACAGATGATCACTATTTTTTACTCCTAGTTGCTCACATAACTCCGCCTCCACCGCACGGTCTGTGTGACATTTGTCTTATTGGTCGCCGCTGTCGGGTACTGACAGCCTATTGCGACAGTGGGCCGCTGTTACAGCAAATCCCATAATGCTTTGCGAGGAGAGGTCTCCGCACAAATCATTTCATATATCTGCTCCTCTAGTGACCATGGATGATCACCAAAGAAAGCTCTGTGCTTACACCTTGAAGTTTTCTTCTCTGGTTTGTTTTCCTGAAAAGAGATAACTTGGGACGAACTCTTTAAATAACACTTCATAAAGCATATGTGCTAAATATAAGTTATGAAGTCATTAGACATGACAATATATTTTAATAGAAATTGTAATCTTACTCAGATCAGAGAAGTTACTTTGAGTTACAGAAGGCAGCTGCTTACCAACCGTGCTCACATCTCGTGAAGCAGTCAAGTCACAGTTAGAGAAGCATTTTATACATCTCCAGTATGCAACATCATCACATCATTACATCATACACATTAGCAGATGATGAGACATTCATGGCTCCACCTTATCTAGATATTGCACTTTGTTCTTAGCTGAAGGCAACCGCTCTCATTCCATCCCCAACTCTTCACCATGTACAGAATGAGGATGATAACTGTATATAGGTGGTCAGAGGAACTGTCCTAATTGATGATGTGCGAGTTTATTAGGGTGGAATAAACTCACACGTCATAAATGATGGTTATCCTAATAAGGTGCTTTGTGGGAAATTTCGAGTCCACTACTTTTTTTATCCACTATACGTTTGGACACTCATTTACACCATATAGTGCCCTATATAGTGGTTAGGGTGGAAATTCGGACACATCCATAGTAAATGTTTTTACCATTGATACATCTGTAAATACCAGCCACTCCTAGAAAAGGTTACTTACTGTTCCTTGTGATCTATGTTTATGACTAATGTCTCACTGTGTTTTTCATTTTTTTCCCTGGACCCCCAAAAAACTTTGAAAGATACCAATCTATTTGTTTACCCCCCATGTACAGTACAGTAGAACTCAGCTTTTCTGTTTTCACCCATCAATACCCTAACAAAAAACACAAAACCTGTGGTCATCACACATTATTTCAGAAATAAGAAAAATGTTTTCAACTCAGATAAAAAGACAAAGAATATATCATTTGAACTGATATGTTTTACTGTTGCAGCATGTTTGTTGAAAGGTTATGATCCTCACTCTGTTAAGACTTCTAAGGTTGTAACAAGACCAAAGTCAAAACATGAAATCTGGAGCAGAATGGTAAACTTCACACAGCGTCCATTCGGACAGAATTTCCATACCGTGCACCTAAGAGAAACTTGTAATTACTCGGACAGAAAAACATGGCGAGCGAGTAATAGCTCCTACCGGCGAGGGTTTGCAGATGTAAACTTCTAGATATCATATGATATAGCCCATAAATACCAACACTATCATCAGACTGTGAAAAAAACTGAAAAAAATTACTCTCACTCTAAAATGGCATGATGAGACTTTGAAAATGTTGTAAACGGCTGTTTTCTACTTCCTTGTGTTGTGTGGTGTTGTCAACTTGCAGCTTGAAGCTTGTGCTACTCTCACAGGAGAAAATTCAGACATTTTCTTTATTCTATATTCTACTACTGTAAGGAAGTGTGGTTTTATACCTCCAGTACTTTATGTCTAAAGGGACAAAGCTTTTCATGTGGATGCATGGATTCTTTTGGGGTACTGCAGTTTCCTAACAGTTTCCACCCCATAAGTAACAGAGTTTGCATCCATCGAACTCTTTGTTGCCCTGTGATGAAATGGCAACTGGTAGAGGTAGATAATCCAGGTCCGGAATGCAAAAAGCATATAGTAGCTATAACCATTGACAGTGTGCACTAATCACCTGGCTAGGTGAAAAGGATAAAGACAATTTAGTCAGGGTTTTTACTTTGTGGACCTGGATTATCCACCTGCGGGAGCTGGTCAGGGTGTGGCTCACCTCTCAGCAGATGACAGCTAAGGATTGGCACCAACCCAGCAAAGACAAGCACCGAGACACAATGGATGCATAGACAATCATTGGACTTGGGTTATGGTTGATTTTCTGACTTAGTTTATCAATTGTTGAAACAAAGAACAGAACCAAATCTATTGTTAACTCAAAGATGTACAGACATTTCAGTTATTTAAAGTAAATTAAACAAGATTTTTAAGCATTTTTATGACATTTATTTGAACACCATTTCAAAATAGCATGTGGGAATGATTAGGGCAAGGCAAGTTACCTGCATCCTAGTTTAGATTCATTCTCTGAAAAGCATTAAAAGTACATAATGGAGAAAAAGTCTCAAGTTATTCTTGTTGTTGTTGGACCTATGTTCTGATGACCACACCTAAATAGGAACACCCAAAACTGGCTGCCCTGAGCATTTTTGCTTTTTTTTAGGTTAGCCATACTTCAGCAACATTTTGACAAATCAAAATATGTGCTGATCATTTTTTAAAGATATTCATAATAAAAAGTATGAATGTTTTGGTAATCATTGGAAAACAGTATAACAGAGGTTCCTTCTCAGATTCTCAGATCAGGTTTGCTTCCACTTTACAGGGCCAGTTGGATTTCAGACCAACAACATTCCTTTCAAAGCTGGCATGTTTACATCAATTGGTGAGTTGTTTGTAAATTTATCACCTCTTGCATGTTAAAATGGTGCTCATTTCCAGTCAGATGTTTCCTGTCAGTTTTTCTGATAAACCTGAGTTAAATATAAGGTTCTGTCGAAAGCTAGTGTTGAACCTGACTGCATTATGAAGAGCTAATACTGCAATGTTAATCCGCTGCATAGAACAAGGACACTTACTTGTTGAACTGTTCGACCAGACCTGTCACCAATGTTAGGAACTGCAATTATTTCATAAAGTTAGAAAAATAGTAAAAATATATCTTATACTGGTCTTTTAGGGGAAAAAACTGTTTAATTTATGAGAAATGTAATGTAAATACAGGCTGCACAGTGGAACAGTGGGTAGCACTGCTGCCTTGCATCAAGAAGGTTCTGGATTCAATTCCCAGCCCGGGGTCTTTCTGCATGGAGTTGCATGTTCCCCCCATACATGCGTAGCTCTCTCTGGGTACTCTAACTTCCTCCCAGAGTCCAGAAACATGACTCTTAGGCTTATTGACCTCTCTAAAATTGTCCTTAGGTGTGAGTGTGTGCATGAATGGTTGTTTGTCTCTGTGCTGCTGCCCTGCAACAGACTGGCGACCTGTCCAGGGTGTACCCCACCTCTCGCCCATAGACTGCCAGAGATAGGCACCAACCTCACGACCCTGACAAGGACTAAGCGGGAGAAGATGGATGGATGGATGGATGGATGGATGGATGGATGGATGGATGGATGGATGGATGGATGGATGGATGGATGGATGGATNGGATGGATGGATGGATGGATGGATGGATGGATGGATGGATGGATGGATGGATGGATGGATGGATGGATGGATGGAAGATTTCCCCACCCACCCCCACCAAAATACAGAAATTAAGAATTTCAAGACGGCTGTGTCCCATTACATCTGCTTGAAAACTAATACCCAAAGTATAATTAATACCAATGTTTAAAAATGTTTATCACCTTAATTTAGTTTTAACTTATGTTTAACTTTATCTTTGTCTGAGTTTGATAATAAGATTTGTTTAATCTAAAACATTTAGTCTGACTGAGAGGCATAACAGATTTACAGGAAAGCAAATCGTTTTTTATAGTGCTGTATATGTTTATATATGATTTTGTTACAGAGCCTGGATATTACAAAGAGAATGACTTTGGCATACGGATTGAAGATATCGCAGTGATCATACCTGTTCAGACAAAGGTAAAGAGGCAAAACTGTTCAGAAAAATCAGGTGATTGTGCTAAATTGCAGGTGATTGTGAAAAATCAGGTGATTGTGCTAAATTGCATGTTTTTTTTATTTTACATTATGAAACCTCTGTATTTCTCAGTATGGACATAACTTCCTGACATTTGACACCGTGTCCCTGGTTCCATACGACAGAAAGCTTATTGACACTTCGCTCCTCAGTTCAAAGCAGGTGAGCTATCTTTTTACAAAAGCAATGATTCAGTTACGAAACATCAGGCGGATGCAGACTGTTAAACTATGACGGACTGTCGTCAGCTTCCTGTTTTAATTTGTAAATACATTGCTGTGTGACATGGACCCTGTCTTTCTCTTTTCTGCAACACAGGTTCTAGCTTCCTCTTAAAATCCCCATTTCACACTTGTGGTTTAAGTTTCTATGCAGCTCTGAGATCAAAACATAGTCAAAGAAAACAAAACCACGTGAGAAATTTGGCTTTTGTGTTTTATTTCTTTTTCTCCAAAAAAAAATACCTTCAAAGCTAAAAAAAAAAGAAAGCTATAGATAAAACCTTATTTTAACAGATCTATGTCTTTGAAAAAAAAAAAAAAAAAAATAGGTAGCTTAATAATAGATAATTACATCATAACGTCCAAACAATGTCACAAAGTATTTCAAAATACTTAATGGAACATTTGCTTTTAGATGCTTTCAAAATTATGGCAACATCCAAAAATCCTGTTTGGCGCCCTGAGGGGGATACCAACAGACGACCTCAGACC